ACACACACACACACACACACACACACATATGCACACATACACACAGACACACACAAACACACATACACACATACACACACATACACACACACACACACACACACACACAATAAGGTCTTATGAGTGCCGAAGATTAGAGGTATTACAAGCACAAAAAAGGAGGAGAGCTAAGGACGATAGATGTTTGATAGGAAAGGAGCAAACCGCACCAGAGCACCCACCAACCACCCCCACTCCAGGTTTGACTGGTTTGCGTTGATGTTTTGTTTTGATTTCCCTCTTTCTTCTATTGATATTTCTTCGTTATATCTATTTTTGCTATTTTTTAAGGACTAGTGGGGAGGGGGGTGCTATTATTTTAATATGACAGTAACCCAATAAATAGTAAAATTCTAAAGAACATGTCCTTAGTTACATTTCCTTTGTTTGTTTGTTGACGTTGTTTTTGTAACGAATGCTGGGGTATCAGAATAACTGATTTACACATTATTTGTAGAAGCCTCCATAAAACGTAAGAATAGTTTGCCTTTTTAGGGGCCACACTGTTTCTGGTGGCATCTCACGCATAAAGAAATGGGGAAAAAACTCCAGTGGAAAAACTCTTTGAGACGAATATCAGAAAACATTTTAGAACCCCAAATCGGTAGTCAACATTTTTATTTTAATTTCGACTGCTTAGTCTAAGACTCCGCCATACGCCATTTGAAAAGTGACGAGCATCGGAGTCTGACTCTGAAAAATCGATTTTTTATTTTTGCTTCGGAATGAGTAGGTCTAAGCCCAAGAAGAAATGTAAGAACTCACCTACGCAGTTACCCGCGCGGTTGGGTTTGAGTCCCACCGGACACTGCACCAGGACGCACTCCTCCAGGACACGATCAAAGCGGTAACCTTCCTCACAGGGTTTGGGCACACAACTGCCTCCACCATCATGCGTTGGAACAGGGACGATGATTTCATGGGGCAAATAAAAATAGAATACCGTAAACAAAATATTCAGGTAAAACCATGGTAAACTGTTAAACTGTCGCTCTTTGGTGAAAGGACAAATAAGGCAGTCACATCACTATAATAAAACAGTTAAAACTGCACTAATGTCTACCTGTTTAAGACGACCTCTCCCTACTACCCTTCCCTCTTTTTTTTTTACATTACATGTACCGTCCAAGACGTCCACTTAAGACAAACACTTTTCTCCTCAACAGCGGGTGGCTGTTTTGGAAAATTTCGACTGAATATCACTGACTACTACAACAAACATTACTTAATTGTTTTTGTGCAGTGAAATAGTATCTCTTTGTTTCGCCTAAAAACTGTTGTATAACAAAATATCTCAGGAGGCGTCGGTAGCGAGTGGGGTTCGAGCCTGAGCTCGGCCCGATGTTATGTCCTTGGAAACGGCTCTTTACACGAATATCCCATTTGGCTCGGTTTTTTTCGGAGACAGACGTTGGGCGCCTCTTAAATAACCTGATGGTGTTGATAAGGGCGATAAATCTTTACCATTTTACCATTTCAAATATCTCCAGGTGGCGTCAGTGGCCCAGTGGTTAGGCTACCAGACACGTAATCGTGAAATTGCTGGTTCGGGATTTCGAGACTCAGCTCGGTCCGACGTTGTGTCCTTGGGAAAAGTACTTTACACGAATTTCCTGTTTGGCGGCTCTTTCGGAGATAGAAATTAAACTCGGAGGTGTCGCCCCGTACATAACCTAATAGTATTGTTAGGGGCGTTAAACCGTTACCATTTTTCCAATTCAAATACAAAACAGTGTATCTCCATGAAGAGGACAAAAGTTGACAGCACGGCAGACACTCACCGGAATGAACCCTGGATGTTCTGACATTTGTAACCTCCACCACAGTTGTGTGTGCCCAGTTCACACTCGTTGTTATCTGCGTCAAAAGTCAAGAAAAGTTCAGGTGGGTGTAAAAGAGGGAGGGGGGGATATTGGGGAAAGGGGCATACTGAAATATTGCATAAATCGTAATACACGAATAACTAAAATAGGGCAGACGGGTAAAAAGTATACTACATGTCTTCTAGATAGATCTATACCGGCTTTTGTGTCTCAATCAACGATACAAGTTTCAAATCACAGTCACCGTCATAAAGTATCACATCTGCTGCTGACGTCGGCGAAGCGCTTTTCCCTTTCGTCAACCCGCAGCCACATCCCAAATCGTCAGCCACATCCCAACTTTTATACTAGATCTATATTAAATCTAGACTAGGTCACATCCATGAGGCCTAGATACTAGATAATATGTAAATTTAGATATCTAGATCTAGATAGATCTAGAAAAATTTACTAAGTTTTTTGTCTGAGAATGAACAAATTCCTCTTGTGTGCTTTGATATGTAAAGTCTAATAGGGATGAGTATTAGATCTAGATCTAGGTGCCACTAAATCTAGATCTAGATCTAGATCTAGTATAGAGCCACAAGGACAATCTTGAACCTGTGTTCGTTTTATTCCTTACTTAGATGATTAGATGACTAAACATGATCTCTTATTGACAATATAAAAGTCAATTTAAGCTTTATTTCGTCAGAAAAATGTGTTAGGTTTGCTAACTTCTTAGACTTTGTGTTAAACAACATTTTTAACAAAAAAGCTTTACAAGCCTAGGCTTGGCCTTTGTGATCTTGAAGGTTTAAATCTAGATCTAGAAGTAGCGAAGTAGAAGACTCTTGTTACTAGATTACAACTAGAATCTTGATCTAGACCTAGATTCGAGATTTTAGTAAAGGCAGAGTCCAAGAAAAAACATCAACAAATACACGTGGTGATGAGTAAAGAGAGACCAAAACAATCTCTCTTCGATCTCTCTAATACATGTTCCGGTAAATACCTATAACTAGATTGAATTTTGACCCATGTCAAAGGTTGGGATGTGGCTGACGATACGGGATGTGGCTGCAAGTTGATGAAAGGGAAAAGCGCGTCGGCGAACATGGTTTTCCAGTTTTTTGTCATGCTCAATCAATGGTCAATCATTTCTCATTTTAGACTACGATTCAAGTTTACAGTTTACAATTTAAGTGTTATATAGTTGTACACCGATTTAACAGTATCAGAGAGTCAGGGCAAGTTGGACATTTATAAACGTAAAACATCTATATTATAAGGTCTCTAGTCTCTCTACCCCATCAGAAGTTGTTCAGAATGGGGCTGCAAATAAATATTCGATAAAAATTTGAAGGCAATAACTTGCCCTCTTGCACGCATTGGAAGATGTGCCTCTGATCGTATAAGTGAAAACTATACTTTAACCATGGTCTCATTATTTAAAATATAATTTGTGCAGTATCCCAACATTGTCTTAAAACATATATTATATTTTCTGTAACATGTACTCATATTTAGACATACAGTTAGTAACTTGATTATAGGTTGATATATAATTGATGTTGAAATACTTTTTAAACTCAGAGCAAGATTCAAATTGTATTTTTATTATCTTTGGGAGTGGCGTCCCTTATCTTCGAGGCTGCTTATGTTGATAGCTGTTCTTTGAAATTTCTTTTTAAAAATTTAGTTACGTCCGTTTGTAATTCCGTTCCTGTCTTTTCCATTCTGTACTCACTGAACTTTTTTTTTTCAAAAAAGGATTGATGTTCTTAAATGTTTCTTAAATTGTGCTATAGACCTGTCAATTTTTTTAACTATCATCATTTACCACTCTTCAGCAAAGAGACGAGCGCATTATTGGGTTTTATTTTAATAGGCTATGGGGGGGG